ACAATTAAGAAATAATTGCAGATTTTTTTGTTGTTAATGGACTAATCATTTAAGTTGGAAGTATCAAAGAACAAGCATTGCAAGGACAAAGTCAAAGCGAGAGATGAAAGTGGTTGTATTTGTATTTAGAGATAGAGCATAAGTAAACCTATAAGTCATGAGTCAAAAAAAGGTCTGTGGCAGGAAGTCTGTGAGAACACCCCCATCTGAACCCAATCTCATCCGTGTGTGATTGTGTGTGAATGCCTGACCTCTAACTGCAGGTGTGTGAGAACAGTGCATGTGTGTGTGTGTGTGTGTGTGTGTGTGTGTGTGTGTGTGTGTGTGTGTGTGTGTGTGTGTGTGTGTGTGTGTGTGTGTGTGTGTGTGTGTGTGCTATATTTAGTGCAGTGTGCACAAACAAACTGCTCTGCCCGGGTTCAGGTTGTGCGGAGAGGAGGAGCTGAAGCTGTGGTGTGATGTCTTTATCTGATGAATAAATGAATGAGGCAGCCGGTGTCAGACAGCGGCAGAGTTTACGCTCTCTGATAACATCGCTCCGGATCATTCTCTGATCAGGACAGCCCGGAGAGGGACAGCCGGTCCAGCTCTGACACATGAGACAGCTGGCTCAGTGTGTGTGCATCTCACTGAACACCTCAGCAGCCCTCCTCACACACCTCCAATATCTGATTGCTTCTTATTTACAACCACTTGATCATGTCTAAATTAAACAAAGTCTGACGCTGAGTTTGGAGCTGTAAGTGTCAAGTCTAGAAACCATGCCCGAATGACAATAGGCCCTACCCATTTTGAATTGACAGGAGTATTTAATTATACTCAGGTAATTGTCTCCTACTTGCAATGCTTAGTCAACCTCTTTTCTCTTTGTTGTCAGACAAACATAGAAAGCCATTTTATCATTAAAGGTCACACAATACTAATCCTGACTGTGGAGCTCTTAAACGTTATGTAAGCTTTGATCACATAACTGTTTATAGCCATACAGTTAAAACATTAAAAGGCACGCCAATGACAATGCCTGTATTGTTGGATGTTAAAATGAAACATCTGGAATGAGCGGCTGTGAGAGCAGAGCCCAGATTAGACACCAGATTAAGTGCGTTACATTATACACCTAGCCACCTAGCACTGTCTATGTATAAAATGCTTTTCTGCATTGACTATCTAATATAATTTTTTGTAGAGTCAATGAAGAATCCCTTTACAGGTAAAGTAACAAGATGAGAACGTCTTTTGGCGTTAGATAAAGTAAATGTAATGTAATAGGATAAAAATCTCAATATTTGAGAGGCTGAAAACAATTCTCTGCAATTTATGGATTTGGAATCTAATCAATACATCAATCTAAATAATTGGAGATGATTTGTTCTCACTATCGACCCATTTGATTAGTCAACTAATCATTGCATCTCTAGAAGACAAAGCTTATGATAAAATCTCCATCTTTCTTTCACTGTGTAAACTGCCATATATCCCGAAACCCATTGTTTATATTTCTTTGTTTCATCTTATCTCGCCATTCTTAACTGAGAAATCCAACATATCTATCAACCTCCAATGTTTCTTTGAACACTGGCACCCTGCTACTTGCTTCAATACTATGCAAACAAATAATAGAGCAATTGTTTACTTAAGCAATCAAAAGATGGAAACCATTAAGCAATAAGTCAAATAAAAGGGCGCATTTTAGCCAAAACAAATACTCTAAAGGGGCCTATCTGAAATGTGAGTATAAACGTGTATAGTCTGCTATGATTTCCATTGTGCTTGGTCCAATGCAACGCTCCTCTTATTCTTGTATCTTGAAACAGGCAAAACCTTTAACAACGAACAAAGTAATTGTGAAAACTATTTTTACTTAAAATACTGTATAAGGTCCATTGTCACCGCCTGTGTAAATACACCGTTTTAAGGGACCAATAACACAACACAAACACACAAACTAAACAAACTTTCATATCAATATTTGAGAAGTAAGCTTGGACTTGTTACTCGAAAAACAAGGTTATGCTTTTGGTTTAGATTGGAATAACTACTTGCAGAATTTTCCTGAAACTTGGTGGAAGGAAGAAGCATTCTTTGAGTGTGAGGAAGATGGTAAGGCCTGTGATGATAAGATAAGATAACTCCACAACAGGTCAAGTATGAAACAATAGGCATATTAGTTGCACACAACATTTGCTCTGGTTTGCCAAAGCAAAATTCCTGTAGAAGTTCTTCACTTGTTTGTGTAGCAAGACATGCAGGTGGCTTACATCCAAGCATGGGTGTAATCTCCACTGGGGACAGGGGGGACATGTCCCCTCCACTTTTCAAAATCCCATTTGTGTCCCCCCCACTTTTTAAATGTGTTTATTATTATTTTCTTACGCAAGCGGTCATTGTCACGGAGGAGCGTCTGTGTGTGTGTGTGTGTGTGTGTGTGTGTGTGTGGCACAAGCGCATCTTGTGAGAGAGAAATAGAGAGAGAGAGAGAGAGTTACGGGGGTTGTTGTTAGCATTTGGTGCTAGCTCGGAGCTAACGGAGGTTAGAAGCTGTTTCAACAATAAGGAGAGGGAGAGTCCTCTCCTGTCGGACTGAGAGAGATAACGCCAGCTCAGGGAGGTAAAGGACTCTGAGAGATTAGACTGTAAACTTTAGTCTAAGTTATCTCAGTCGGTCTCAAACGGTTTCTCAATCCTTCCAATGTGTACTATAGGTCAGTACAAAAATAAAAAACAAAGTTTGAAAGGGGAGTGATTAGTCCAATATGCATAAATAAAAAAGAAAGAATGCAGACTAGGTAAGATAAAGACAGGAGAGAGGAGTTTATCAATGATTTGTTATTAGTTGTGAGCATATTCTAATGTTTTTTTTATTAATGAAATATATACAGTTCTGTTTCATTTGAGTGTTTAGTGTGGGGGAAACTTCTGTTTAGCAATGCAGTGGGAGTCACCGACTCATGAAGGAGACACGGGAAGAGCAGGAGCTTTGATGTCAAACACTGATGGTTTATTTAGGAGCTTCGGCCGGAGAATTCACAAAACAAGTCCAATAGCCAGAGTTTCTGACTTCACGGTAGAGTTGCCACGTCAATTCTGAAGAACTCTACCCCAGACCCATGTATTTAGCTAGTTCAGAGAGAATAATCAACATTGTGAATAACAAGATAGAATCATAACACCTCTATCAGCTGACGCCAACAGGCAGGAACAGGGAGAAAGAACACTGAGAGCACAGCAGCCAAGGTTACAGGTGCCTGTGCTCAGTCAGGACAGTTTGAACTGATAAACTGGGTCAAAGTTATGGACCTTGGAAAATATTTCCCCAACATTGAGAACTGTATCCATAAATCTCTTAATGTTGCCCTCAAAGTGCACCAGATTGATAGCTTCAATTTAAAGAAAATAAATCTTCCCGGGGTGCATGCCCCCGGACCCCCCTAGAGCACCCTTTTTTCCTCAAGAGCCCCCCAAAATGACTTCTGTTGGAAGTTGCGCCCCCCCCCCCCACACCATCCACACACACACCACAACCACACACGGGGGGGGGTCCGCAACAGTGGTAAAGTTTAAAAGTCTCAAAAATGCTACAACTACTGTCACAAACTGGATTAAAGTATTTTGTTAAAGGAGGATGAAAGCGTAGTTAAGGAGCACTATTGGAGTGACTTTTATGGTTATTGGACTCAGGATTAATTAATCTGGATTTCCGCTGTTTAAGGAAATAAAAGGACTACGCAAGTGGAAACAATTCACAAAGGGATTAAACTGTTTAAAACACATGCTCAAAGTAAGCCGGATTTTGCCGATGTGTTTATGTGGATTCAAAAGTCGTAAATAGTCTACAAAACGGAGGAGGCCGATCTGATTGGAGCAACTGTGACAAATAATCCAACTGAAGCCGGCATGGACAATGACTATGTTTGAAAATGGGCTTATCCAGACAAGCCTGGTTTTTTAGTCAATTATTTTTTATATTTTATTGTAATGTAGAAACAAGGCTTTTATTGACAATCATATATTGCTTTACAATTATATGTAAAAAAAAAAAAAAGTTAAAAAAATATGATATTTGGCCTCAAATCATCTGAGGCCTGGCGCCCCCCCTGCGGTCTTTGGCTCCCCCCAAGGGGGACGCGCCCCCAAGGTTGGGAACCACTGTCCGGTTGTGAGGTCATCACAAATAAAACAGGTTCACATGGATAGGATACTAGATAAGTGTGCACACTCATTATATACACTACACATTTTTCTTGGATTTGTTAACACTATAGTCCCTTAAATAATTGTAGAAAGGCAGGAAATGGAATTAAATTGAGAAGATGTTTCATTGCGGAGGACCCCCCCCCACACTACTTCTCAAACCAAAGTTACACCCTTGCATCCAAGTGTGTACCACTACCAACCCAGAGTGTGCATTTGTTTATGTGTGGGTTTGACAGCCTATTGTTGACTGCCATACATGACACTGTTTCCTGCTCCACTGTTGAACTTAGCTTAACCTTTACACAGGACCTCATGAGACATGATGGATACCTTGATCTTATAAGTGAAAAGAAGATGAAGCAGTTTCAGAGAAGCGGCAGGCTGGATGGCAGCAGTCCCTAGCACGCATGCACCAGTTAATGGCAGCTAAAGACACATAAGCAGATTGGTTAACAGTCAATGATTACCAAACTAGTCTAGAGTTTAGAGAAGAGAGGTGGTGGGCGGTGTTGCAGGCACCTTGAAGGTACCTCCTGAAGACAATTATGATCACATATGTTTCTTAAAAAGTAGAAGAGAAAGAGAATAACAAAAAAATAGATGGTAGTGTTTTGTTGGACGGAAGAACTACTGGTCACGAGGAAATGGTGTTTGACCAAAGAATTTCCCGAGTTAACACAAATGTGAATACTTTGGTTCAACCACTGCCAGCAAAGCCATCACTCCATTGTTGTGAGTAGACCTCTGTTAAAAGTATTTTCACCAGCAGTCTACAGGAAACAGCGGGATGAGCGACGTGGACACACCTTTCGAAGAGAATCCTCAAGGCGAAAATCCCCAAAGCCAGCGGCAAGGCAGAAAACAAGTGCCCCGCTTTGGGGTACTCCACCCCGGGGGCCGGGTCCGCCAGGTCCGCCCAGGTGACGTTGTGTGGGAGCCAGAACCGCTCGTTCCAGAACCAGGCTGAAAGAGCAGCCATGTTTCTGTGTCCCGGACCCCGGACGGTTGGATGAAAATAAGTTATTATCCAAAAGAAAAGGATGAGAGAAACTTGATGAAGCCTCCTTCCCCTGGGTTACTTGTGCCATGAATTGCCTCCCTCAATTTTACCGTTGAATTGAAGAGGAAACAAGAGACTTCTGGTGGACATTTTCAAAATAAGACTCCAAACGGTGACCGTTAGATTTAGTTTGAGTGGCAATATCACGAAACTTTAATTACTTTCCATATTAAGGTTTAATAGATATTTACTTTTTGTTGAGTTATCTTTATAATATTGCATTTTGTTACTTTTTGTCGCAGCTGAAGACTTGACTTGGGGCTGATAGTAATCATCAAAATACAGTAGAAAAACTATGCTGCCTCATATTATTGAAAATAATGAAAATAATTAAATTGGTCTCATAGAAACCATAACCATCACCCTTTTTTATAATAGGTGAAAAGAGTGTCATGTGTGTCCAGTCCATAGACTGTATGGGTCCAATCACGTTAAATTTGAATCATTGTTTTCTAATATAAATGTGAATGGCAAATTAGGCTACAAACATAATCAAAAAGTGTTCTATAAGAACGATTTAATCACCCAATTTGTTAATTTATTGTAACCTTGTGTCAAGTCATAGTTAAGGTTTTAAATAAACATCACGTTTATGTATATAGAAACAAACAAAAATACATTGATGATCCATAAATCAGTCACCCTAGAAATAATCAGCGAGCCAGCCTATCAAGGGCTGATGGGATGCTCTAGTAGTGTAGTGTAGTGTTGGCTGTTGTGAAATTATTATAATTTGCCAGTTTTGACTTGTAAATGATAAGACCTGACACTTGCCAAAAAGCTCAAATCAAGTAACGAATTGTCCACATATCTTCATCTTGTTTTTTTATTGTGTAGTTCAATCTGGTCAGCTTCCGGTATTTTTTGGCTGTTGTCAAAAAGCTTGACAGACCTTGGCTGCCCTCCTGAGATGAGGGCTGGAATTGAGGAAGTGAAGGCGGGTCCTCCCTCACCGAGGGGATGGGTGCCATGCATGTATGGGATACATCCCTGTTTCCCTGTTGGAGCCACACTGTTGTCAGAAACTTTAATATTTAATTAACTATGGTATGGTGGTGTTGTATAACATATACTACTATATTATAGGCTACACTGGGAGATTGTACTGCCTCCATTCAGTAATCCGATTGATAGGTTATCTTTAAAGGTGCCGAGTCAAAGGCAGATACAATTGACGACTTGTGATCGATGTGATGGCGCACACTAGTGGACAATATATACATTGCAACTACAAATTGTTAAGGAATATTATGTGACATCTTGACCTTTAGGGGATTTTATTTCTGTAATGGCTAAGATGTACATTACACTCCACTAAAAGTCACCATCAACATGTGTATTTTGTGCATTTCGAATTTGCTCAAAGTTTCTTTTAAATGACACATTATTGTTTTTTCACAACACCACAATGGTGTAGTGTTACGAAAATTGAGCATCGCTCCATCCGTGTTGTTAAGGAGGGATGGGGCAGCTGCAGATCTGTCTGCTGTCTAATTATAGATGACCGTTTGCCCCTTTAGAGCGCGGTATTATTAGAAATCTCACAGGCCAGTTGACTCAATAACTATGCAAGGGGTTTCAGCCAGGGATCCTGATTTAAACAAGTGGTAAATGATGTGGCTCCGCGGTCTACAACAAAACTAAGCAAAAGTAACACAATAGTGGGACCAAGGAGAAACGATAATGGAGAGGAATTTTTATAAAGTGTTTCAACAATTATGAAACTGGCAGGCAGGGAATGTATATTACCACTTCAAGGCCAGAGGAAATAGGCTTCCCACTGACTTTCACGCTGCCTTGAGCTGAATCTCTTATCAACAGAGCATTGATGGAATACACTGGCATATGGTGTAGGACAGATGGCCGTTAATGATCACACATGGGTTTCTTGCATTTTAATTGTCATCAAGTGGGTTCAAAATAAAAACAAAAGATTCTTATGAGGACATTTATAAATTGAATATTTTTGCAGCAATAATCCATACTCAGCCATCACTTATGAGGCCTCAGGCAGGACAGGTGCTATAAGAAAGGTTAAAGTAGACATGGCTAGAAAATGGTAAAGGTGAAGAGTTTAGAGTGGCAGCCTGACTGAGCTCAGGTCAGATTACAGGCAGTCTGCTGCAGAGTGTGTCCTGGAGGCACACACCAGCAAGTGAAAACGAAAACATTACACACGAACACAGGCATCAAGTTCAATAATTTATTCCAAAATAAATCATTATAAGAAGTCCAGAAGAAAAACAACACATGTGAGTGTTAAGGCAGGGTACGGCACTTTAATTTTATAAATTATGTCACATTTAGTAAGATTAAGGTCAGGGTTTGAATATCGTGTAAGGCAACGTGATTAAAATCCCTTAAACTTTTAAGACTGGGTAGATTTAATATAACAACTTGTTTCGAATCAGTAAAAACAGAAGTAAGGGTTTTCTGTCCATAATACGACAGAAGCGGGTCAACAAAGCAGCGCAGGTATTTTCTTTTTGAGATTTAAACATCAAGGTAGTCAGGTTTAGGCATAGTCTTCACCTAACATCCCCCCTGAAATGACCTGGGTTAGACAGTAGTTCTAGTGTAAATCCTTTCTCAGCTTTCACCTGTTCATCAGGCTGCTGTCATCCATCACATGTGCTCTGGGTGGTCCTGCAAACATTTGATGAACTCTGTCACTGGATGGCCGTTGAAGCAGACATTGTGAACAGCAGTGAAGAGAGGAAACCTGGCGAGGTAAAATAAATAATTTAAGAACAATGGATATTACCAAAGAAAAGGTTGGACATTTTGGGAAATTGTCCTATTGGCTTCCTAGATTAGAAGATTGGTACCACACTTACAAACTCATTTAACCACTCGTCGCTTTTGTATAGATTAAAGAAGCAAAATATGACAAAGCAAGCTGTTTTCTACTGGTTTTCTACTGTGTCTTAGCTGACACCTTTAGCTTCATATTTACTATAATAACATGAGGGCGGTACCGATGTTCTCAGATAACTCACAGCAAGAAAGGGTATGATTGAAATGTCCCACTATTCCTCAACATTTTTGCATAACATGATGTGAACACAATCACACATTAGGTTGAGATAGCATATTCAAATGGACTCAGTTGTACTGACACGTATCAGTAATTGTAGTAATGATAATGTCCCAACAAGCCATATCTTTTGGATAATCCCTGATTTGTCTCCAGGTTCACATTTTACTGCTTCCCTTCATTGGTCTGCTACCTTTTCAAAAACAATTGATTATGTCTTACTTACTTTAGCTGTGCTTTTATTAATAACCTCTCCATAAATATGTTCACTCACTTATTTTCTTAGCACAGTTTAGGTTGTGAATGTTAACATGGGTGTATGCGTGTGCTGGACAAAATAAGACAAACTTACTTCTCCACCAGTTTTTTCTGTTCCAAGATAACGTGGACCTCTGATGCGGTGGCTGGACCCTGAAGCTTCTGACCGTTCAGCAGCTCCTTCTCTAGCTGCTCGATGCTCTGAAACAAAAGATTGTTGTCATTGTTTAAGTGTCTGATAATCCTTTTCACGAGAAGGGAGTGATAAAGACAAAGACAGAGGAAGAGGAAATCTGTTCACTCATACTTTTCCTGTTTTGGCGAAAGCCTCTCCGATCTTGCGGTTGCGTCCACCGTAGCAGGTCGTGATGAGGTCAGCGATGCCGCAGCTCTCCAGGAAGGTGGCGGGGGAGACGGGGCAGTTTGTGCAGAAGATCTTGGCGAAGGCGATCATCTCCATCAGGCCGAGACGGATCACCGCTGCCTTGGTGTTGTCGCCGAAACCCAGGCCATCACAGAATCCTGCTCCCACTGCCACAATGTTCTGCAGACACAAGAGCACACGCTGCTGTCATTGAGTTGCACTTTTTACAGGTTGGGGTTAGTACTAATGCACAGGAGGAATCTCTAATAGATCCCGTTTTATCTCTTTAATGCCTTTGATGCATACACATACCCTGTTGAATATTGTTTACATATTGAAAGAATTCCAAATATATCAAAAACACAGTGAGATTATAAGTGATAAGAGGTTTTTTGTATCCATTCTGCACCTTCAAGATGAGCAGATGCAAATGGTGAATTTAATAGATTTATATAAAACATTATCTTCTGCATGGAATTCTTTTGATATTTTGGAAAATGTCAACTTTTATTTATTTTTTAGAGAGCACAGACATTGAATGACATTGAAATTTCTAAGGCCCTCAGATGCTGGTGACAATAGAAATAAGTAAATGTGTTTTGAAGGAGGAGAGCTCACCTTGAGCGCCCCGCAGATCTCAACAACATCAGCCTCCTCCACCACAGTCACACGGAAATTTGTGGTCTGCATCAGCTCCTTCAGCATGGGCCAGTGGGCTTTGTCTTTGCAACCTGTGTCCAAAAGTTACAAATAAATCAACACCATTTCCCATAATGCAGCACTTAAGAAATGCATACTGTATAAAACAATAAACATGCATTGGTAAGACTAGACAGAAGGAATAACACTGTTTTGTTCCATCAAAACCATTCAAAATTAATTTCCAAAAGTTATATATTAAATAGTAAGGATTTCTTTTTTCAGACACACCAAAATGATGTGTTTTTTTAACTTCATTTCAAAACATATTTTACACAGCGTAGCCCAAAGTTTTACCATGAAGATTACCATGTGGTCTACATAACATAGGAAAACCAATTCTGAGGCATGACATTACACCTATTTGATGAGTTTTGAACAATATAATGTATGTTAATTATATATGTAATATCAATCAGTCATGTTGCTCACTGCGATTCTTTCTCAAAGTTGCTGTTTACAGCTAAAAACATGTCAGAGAGTTGTATATTATAAGCATGCATTGAGACTCAAAGCAATACTGTGCTCTACTTTCATAGTAAAGTCCTATCCAAAGGACAAATTAAACTAGATTCCCTTAATTATAGGCATACAATGTCCATCTGTCCTCCGTACCAATGGTTGTTTCACAGAACTTCTCGTCAGCGACCTCGTTGGCGATGTTTGCTCCCA